GCTCCCTGGACGATCAGGGCCAGTTGTAGCTCAAGACCCAAGACCAGCCATGTGTGGACCCTGGGACGCTGTGAGGGCCAGTGGTGGGACCCTGGAACTCCTGGCTCTACGTCCTTGTGAGGGCGAGTTCCAGAGCATAGCCAGAGTAGTGTATCTAGGCTGTGTACCTAGGCTGTGTACCTAGGCTGTAACAGAGTATCAGGACTGTTGGAGTGCTGTTGAATTGTAATAAAGAAATTACCTCTACAAGTGTCTCCGGAACCCGTTACATATGTATTATTCTAAGGTATAGGGTGGTGTATAGTAATACAGTATATAATTTAATGTTGGGTTTGTCTATGGCAGCATATAGTACGGGGTAGACCCGTGTGATGTAAAGGAAAACATTTTAGCTGGAAGCATATTATATTTTTTGCGACATAGAATTGTTATGTATTACTTACTGTTAGTAGCTCAGCTTATTGGAGAGTATATTTAGTATACTGATGATACTATGTAGTTTATACTTTAGTTTTTTACGTGGTCGTTTAGTTACTGTAGCTACATACTATTAACATTCCTTCCCTTTATAAACGCTACCCCTATCCCCTCCCTTTGATGCTGCTAATCCTGCATAATGCACGAGCATAATGACTTTGAAACCCCCCCACCCATCTCCTACGCATTTCACAAGTAGTACTAATCACATACCTGCATTTCCCATAAATATGCTAAATTCCTCTTGATATGCAAATTATTTTGTCAAGGCGCCCTTCCCCCCTTCCAACCCAGCTTAAATATACGCTCCAAGCATGGTGTTGTTTCATTCAGACGCTGTCTCCCCGACAGACCTGGTCTTCACCTGAGGACGGCTGCTTGCGTTGTGGCCGAAACGTCGTGAGAATTATTTTATTATGTTTTATTTTTATTATTTTATTACTTCCCTTCTACGTGACTTTACCGAAAGAACCAAGAAGAAGACTGTGGGAATCTTCTAACTCACTTTAAATGTGACGAATGAACCGTCCCGGATTCCCAAGCCAGAAAATAGGGAAGACACCTCGCCAAGTGCACCGATTTTTTTCGGTGCTCACCTGATGAGATAATCGCGTGGTCCCTTGCCCTGTTCATAGCGATGTTTTTAGCAGCCTCTTCACCGAACCCCCACCTGGACTCTCACACTCATCCCTTGAACGAGGAAAACCAACGACTCTCAATGTTTCTATTGCATAAGACTCATGTCTCTAGTACTTATTATCCCTGGCCATTAACCTTAGAGCAGTTAACTTTATTGGTTCAATCCAAGCTGTAATTATCACACTTGACAGTTCACAAGTTGGCAACCTTATTCTTTGTTGGGTGCACACCAGATTCGAATCACAAATGCTCTGCAAATGTATGAAGTTACCAATTAAACCTCACCATCACCGCTTGACCAACAGCTCCTGGTGCACCACAGGCATAAAGCAAAGCACATCTCTGACACAGAACAGGCATAGACTATTCATTATGATCACAAAGTGACAATAGTATATGCACTTACATACTTACACACAAGCCGGGTAGTAGCCGCTGACTGGATAAGTGCTGCATTCTCAGGCCTGTAACACTTGTCAACCGAACAAGCTTGGCACTCTGCAGTTAACCATCACAGTCAAAAGTTGCTCAAGGCTATGACCAAACAAAACCCAGTTGTCAACCCACACTGGTGATCACATACTCAGCTGTACTTCACTTCGCTCACACACCTTTAGCCATCTCAACAAAGGTGATTAATCTTGGCAAACCCACAAAGACTGCCCACCAATTACACTTCAATGATCAGCCACATTCATGACTGACCATTGCTGCCTGACTTTTCAGCCTTCTTTATTATGTCCTTCTAATATATCCTACTGTTCATTTCCATTGGGCATTATCATGATTGTGTTTTCAGCAAATCTGAGATAGTTAATGTTTTTGCCGTTAATATTAACGCCTTAATTCTCCAATCCAGTATGCCAAATTTTTTTTTATAATGTTGCGTGAATAACGGGCAAAGAAATGTCACCTTGTCTGATTTCCCTGTAAAATTGTATTTTGGTACTTTCATTATGTAATCTCAGTGTCATAATTCTGTTTTGTAATTTATTTTAATTTTTTCTGATTTTTTAAATTTATGGCTTGGTTTTTCATTAGCTTGGATGGCTGCGTCAATTTCTACTCAGTCAAATGCTTTTTCATAGTTTACAAAGGCCGGACACAGTGGTATTCTGCAGCGTTCCCCCGAGCGACACAAAACCTATTCTATGACAACTTCGCAAGACCAAAACTGAGCGATGAAATGAAAATAACGTATGCACGGCCTATATACATCACTCCAACTTGTTCACAGAACATCAAATACTACATCCTAAAACTTTAAACGTATTAGTACTAACTCACAGTCACTTTCCTAATTATTCTGCACCATAATCCCATGTTCTAGATTTGAAGCTTTCGTGACTGCAAGGATTCATACTTTTAGAAAGTCACCCATAATGTGTACACAATGTATAAAGCACGTGACTGCACGCCGTTGGCTGAACCCTTCAGCCAATTAAAGTCATCTGTTGACAGTCCGAGTTGAGGGTCCATGATCGTACTTGTGGGCAAGCTGTCAGACACATCCAGAATATGCCAGCCAAGCAATCGGACACATGCACAATGTGGAGCTTTCCTGTTTCTGGCTGTGAAAGCCTTCACTGGAAAAGATTTACAACTCCGCTGGAAGAAAACGAGCGGTAACCAAACAGTACGAATGAGATTCAAGTATAATCTTGATTTAAAGCCATCTGATGACGATACTTGTGTTGAGCATTTTTACTTTACTCAACCGCTTAGGCCTTAGTACTTTCTGTGCTAGACAGCATATTGAGCAACACAGCTGGATAACGTCCCATAATATTCCAATGAGCTTTCATTCTTCGTTGATCGTTTGCAGTGATAATGTGATCAGAGTACACTCCAGTAATAATGACAGCAATCATAGCTACATAAGCTTGGCATGTGTTCACCCTGTCTACAATGTATTGCACCGCGTTCAAGTGCACATGCTTTTGTTATTAACTGATTCATTGGATACATTGACATATATTGCTGTATTAGTTTATTAATGGTCACTACCGTATATTTTTTACTAGACCTTTTTAAATGTTTGTTTTGATTTTATCTGATGTTAAAGATCCCTCACAGCTTCAATTTCATCAAAAAAATTTGGGCTTGGGGCTTCTGGTTGCAGAGGAAACGGTGATAGGTATATATATCTCCACGAGACCAATATTTGTAACTTCCCCTAGGGGAGAAACAAGATTATATTTTCATTGCAGTCATCCTACATTAATGATTCTCCCAGCTGGATGACAGGATGTAAATGTACTTTTTCGTATCATTTTCTGTCTCAAGAAAATGTATTTCTTTTGTAATGTAACTATTTAGGTAAATATGGAAAAGAATATTCGAACAAAATATATTTTTAGGGAGCCAATAGGCCGCTTATTCCTCCACCTGGCAAATGTCCCTGCATGCGACGACCCTTCACATATAAAAAAAAATTTAACTGCAAGATTCAGAAACAAATTATGACAAAACTTACAACATAGCTTATCATTGTCACTGCTTGGAATCTGGAGAAGTTTGGAATAAGATTGGCAACTGAAATAGTTTGAAAAATATATATTTTGAATGTTAACATTAAACCGCTTACTAATATAATGAATACATGTGCCTTGGAACCTTGCTCGTGGAATTAAGCTTCCGCACGCGCACCTGACATGTGTGGCATGAGAAGTGTTTAGTAGTGCGTGCAGTGCCTTTATTCATCACGAAGGAAACCGTTGCTGACTTGTAACACTTGGTAGCTTTCTAGTTCCCGTGTGGTTGCGCGTATCTTTATATGCGCATTGGGAGGATGCCTTGATGGATTGTATTCTCCAACTTGTTACACTGGTATTAATACAAGCGTTATGAGATTGTGCATCGTTGCATGCTCTTGTATTCTTCGATTGATCAAATGGCACATACTGTCATTAAATCAGAACTGGAGCTTATTTGCTATGTAAAAGGTAACATGTTATGAATATATATTGTTCCCCCCACACCACTAATGGTATGAAATCACAGAATGAATCATGATTGGTACAAACCACCCTTGTAATTTGGAGCTCTTACTATTAACACCAAATTTTTACTCCAGTGTATTTAATATAACATCTGGCATTGTATGATTCATTGGCCAGCTAATGCACCACTTGGTGTTAGCAATGCCTTGGGGTACATTTAAAAAGTGCTCACCAATGAACCAAGCGTATTTTTTTCTCCTGCAATTGTGAACTCACTAGACTGCTCAATGTTTACATGAAACGAGGCATCAGTGCCCAGCAGTGCAATGTTGCAATGACTGTATATCATAGGTCAATACATTGAGACCATCAAGCATATTTGTATCTCACGCAGCTTCCTTGGCGACCGTGTGCAACAAGTTGTTTTTTGTCTATTTCACTCTGCCAGAAACAAATGTTTTTACCTTAAAAGTGTTGATGCCAACATTTTGGTGGGTGTTTCTAACTAACCTTGAACTCGCACGGATTGTAAACACAGATTTATATATGCCTTATTTGACTTTGTTTTACAAATATGTACATGCCTATGTGTTTATTGAGTTTCCCTTTTTTCTTTTAACAAACTTCTTTACTTCTATACTTTGCCCTGATTCTCACTTTTCATTTGAGCAACTCAGCTGCCTTGCAACTGATTATTGTTAACTGAAACATGTTGTGAACACTTCAGCAGTCTCAGTCCTTCATGTTTCATTTCCGCACTGCGACCTCACGTGAAACAGTGCTCACTTACTTGAAATTACGGTCACCATTCCAATAAATCCCTCTCCACGGGCCACCACGATTGCATGCAAAAACACACACCACGCAAGTCATCTTGTCAGTGTCCACCAACAGTCGATAAGATGAGAGACATATTTGGTTCCACCTCGTTGTGTTGTCCAGGTGGTGTCCCCGGTGTCCAGTGCGGTTCTTGGAGAAGAAGCGGTGCGAGTGGGTGAAGAAAAAGTCACCATAAGCCGCCTGCACGTCATGCTTGTGTCAGGGATCTCTCTGAGCCTGCAGCCCAGCCTATACCAGGCCAACATTGTCAGTGCATTCACCTACACCCAGCATGTCCTTCACACACCCAAGCAGGTGAGAGCATATAAGTTATCGGAATGTTGTAAGTGTTTTCACATCGGGATGTTGTTGTGGTGTAATTGTTAGCACACTCGACTGGCAATCCAGAGGTTGCCAGTTCGTTCTCTCCAGCGCAGCAGTTGGTGAAACAATGGTGCAAGTTTATTCAAGTCCTGCACCCTTGGCCACCACAGTGAGCAAAGTGCCAGTCCCATGTGATGAAGCAAAGTGGTGCAGGCACTCAAACGTTTTCTAAGACATCTGGCCAGTGTGGGAAAGTAGGCCAAAATACAATCAAATGCAGTGGTTCACAATCTGTGGTTGTTGATAGACAAGGCCATGGGAAGTGGTCCACAGAATTGTTGTAGATACGATTTTTTTTTACAAAACACGATATATTTGTTTTAGTGCATGGTGCTCTGTGAAAATGTTTTGAAGATTTACAGTGGTCCATTATATTCACTATTTACTTTAGTATTTTTAAGTAGAAATAATTGCGATGATATATAGCAAAATTTATTCTTTAAAAGGTTTCAGTTTTGTTTCCAGAAAAAAAGGGGAAAAACCTATTCTTATATTTTGGTACTGGCAAAGGAGGTCCCATGATGTAGAACCTTTAATTGTAAATGTCTATTGAAGGGTGTCATTTAGTATTTAATTTCAGTTCTTGTCTACTTTACATCAGGCTTCATTTCCTTCCTGATATTATTCTAGTGGTGTTTTTTAGTAGTGTTATAGTATAATTGGCTAGGTAGGATACGAACGAAGTTCTATATACATACATAACAAAAATAGGAACTGCTTTGGTTGCGGTGTGCCAGAAGAAATGAGAATTAGCTCGCATTGAGTATCACATTTGCTCACACATCCATCCTTCTTCACATTTGATTAAGGGATAATTATTGAAATATATGCTTATTTTAGTGGTGCACATCAATGTATCTATTTTATAACTAAAAAACAAAGCAAATTCAATGGGTACTGCTTACTCCAAGCACTATAGCTGTAAACCATTGAACAAGTGTGTGGTTCCTTGTGGAGACAGACTTTACCGTTCATCCATATTCTATCGAAAACCTCAGTCAGCCACTGGCACTTCACCTGGTTACATGGGCACTTAAAGTTACATAAAGCATAATGCATTGCCATTATTATATTTCAATAGCGTAGAATTATTTGTTTTTTATGAGAATTCCAATTGTTTATTTTACTTTCATGAGTAGTTTAAACCTGCTTGAATAGTGTAGTGTGCAATAGCTTTGTTCTGTGCTTTTATTACAGTAATGTGACTTTGTAAGCAGTTAATAACTCACAATTCACCCACATGAAAGTCTCAACATCTTATCTTTTCAATCAAAAGCATGAGGATTTAAAATTGCACACACTATTTCCATTGGGTACAAACGTCTATTTTATGCCGAACATTGTTTTACAAACGGATCAAATAAACATACAGATAAGTATGCTAATTATGTTAAAGTCACCATTTTAAGTTTACAAAAATTCCAAATGTTTTCGTGAGATTTTAGCTTTCCAACGTTCACTCTCACACTTGCAAAAGTAGTACAGACAATTAAAAAAAAATAACCCTTTTACTGCAATTTTGCAAAACAAGAGTTAAAATAGCATTTCATCAGCAAATATTTTTTTAGTGAGATCATTTTCGAAGTAAATACATGAAAGTTACATATATATAAGAAACAACAAAAAAACACCATAGGGAAACTTTACAAATACATTACCAGCATCTGAGGCACGCTTCACAATTACGTAAATTGCTGCTTAAGAAACACTCATAGGTCAGGGCACATCATTTTTGGAAAACACATTTGTTGACAAGAAGCATTTTCGTTTTGTAATGCTTGAAAAAAATGTAATAGGCAACCTATTACCTCCAATAATAATAGATGTATCATTATCATCAACCATGGTCAATCCACTGTTGGATAAAGGGCTCCCTAAGCCACCAAAATCTCTCATGATCCTGCAATGTAATAATCCCGTTAGTATCAAAAGCTGACTTCATTGCACACTTCTCACCAGGGGACATCCTCTCGGATTATCATAAGGTTAAGCTGCATGACTCTTGCTGTCCATATAAAAAACATTTTACAGCAAATATGTTCTCTTATTCGTTAATTGTATCCACATTCAGCTACTACATGGATCATTTAAAATATGCTTGGGAAGTGTGTGTAATTATATCCCCACCACACAGTCCTACAATTGGCAGCCGCGATAGCGATTGTTGATTTCGTAATATACGGAGCATCCACAGAGGTGGTGAGAACAGTAACTGGCAACATAGATGGTAGCAGTGGTGACAATGACAGTCGTCATAATATTCATCCATCATCATCATCATTGCCCGTCATGATCATATTTATCATTTGTGTCATTAGCAGTTGTGTCATTGGCAACGAGGACCACTGTGCAATGGGGTTGCATTTATTTCTACCCATTCCATAGTCGCAGTGATCCATGCCATCATAATTTTTATCCATCGTAATCATGATAATTGTAAGTTATTGATGGCATTGACAGTTACGGTGACCACAAGCGACATCATCATTATCAGTCTTTGTGTCGACAGCAGTGATGGCAGCAGTGTCTCGTGAGAGTAATGGTCACAGCAATATATATTTTTTATTCCTCATCATGATTATAATCGTAATCAGATCACAGGTCATAGCCACAGGTCATTATGGTTAATAACATTGGCACAACCACGCTTCATCATTGCCTTTTAAAATGTATTTTCCTACTATATCAGGCAGGTGTTGCAAAGTTGGCACTCGACTTCCACGATTCACTGTTAGACCCCACCCCTTGGTTTGCAAAACTTTCTGCCCATTCCAATGCCTCCCTCAATAAACTAGCACTAAGAATGTGGCTATGATAGTCAAATTCATCATCACCACTGTCGTCTAATTAATAATCACATAATTGCTGAAATCATGTTTTACAAAGTGGAACTTTTAGCCAAACTAGAAGTATTGATTTTAAAGTTAGCTGCCCTTTAGCAGCATTGCGGAAAAATTATGGCCTTCCTTTGGGAGTGCAATGTGTCCTTTTAACGACCGGTGAGGAAAAATCCACAGTCATGTATGGATGCACCTGGTCACTTAGTGTTATTTGCAAAATAGCAGTTGATAACAGAGCAAATGCATGGACAGTAAGAGAACTACAGTTGAGAATAATTATCACTGTTGCATCATATTTTTAAAAAGAAGTCTAACCTTCAGAGCTTGTTTTCCAAAAGATTTGTTTTACATTGTATCATCTTTTAAAAGCAACAATATGTCAAGTGCAGTTTAAAATGTGCAATGGTGATTGTTTTATAAGCTTAATTTAAATATCATATCTAAGGTATTCGTTAACATGTGAATGTCTTAAAATCAACTGAAAAAGGAACATCCCCTGTGATAGTCAAAATAATGTCATGTCTTTATCATAAAAGATGTTGACGTGATATTTATCCTTTCCCAGTGTTTAATATTCAAAGCATGATGGTTTATGTTGTTGACATTAACACACATTGTCTCTACCCTCCATGAGGCAGATGGTAAATTGGCTGTCAGGGCACTGACACTTTAATGGGTGACCTCTAGAAACATGTTACTGAAAACCTTTTCCCTCATAAAAAAAAGCAACAGTTTCGTGAATAACCAACTGAATAACAAATATGTGCCAGCATTCAGTTAGATGAGGCACAGTATAAACTTACTATTGGATTATTATTTTTTACTTTCTCTCAGATTAGTGTGTCAACTCGTTTTTAATTTCAAAACTAGAGTTGTATGAAAGGGATGAGGCTGGATGTCGTAGGTAGAACCACACATTTAGGACACAGGTTTTCACAGCCACTCGTAATACAAGTGTGGTCTTCCAACTTGGGCCACTGGTGGAGTTTGTGGTCTTTCCAGATTTTGCCTCATACTACTATAGGAATCTCCAGGATTTCAGGTGTTGAAGATGCCTGCAATAGTGCGTGGTGGTAAAAATATGATATAAGGTATGCTTAGCACGGCCTAAGCTGGAAGACTACACTTGGGTTATAAGCATAATTGATGTTACCTCTGGTCTGCTATTGTTGGGCTGACTAACTGGAAATTTCACTCATGTCTTTTAATTCCCAATGTTTACTGACTATGATTGTAAAGAACCCTCTTGCTCATTACCACCAGGGAAAGAGCCGGAACAAATTGGAAATGATTTTCACTCTGTTGATGCTTCTATTGGCAAGGTGGCGGGGAGGGGGATTACAGCAATTTATTTTTTATATATTTCCAGGGAGGTAGCATTTCCAACTGGACTCGTGATGGTTGATTAAGTATTTGCAATGATTGTTCGTTTGATTATGTAGATGTAAAATCTCACAGAATGCTAAATGTCATATATTTGCCAACATTAAAAGTGTGAGCCTAAAAGGTCGAATATCTGAAGCCTTTCCAAGAGTGACATTATCTACTTATTTTTAGTTTTGCATGCGTGCATTTGGTTGCCATCGAAACCATTATTCTATATTAACAAGCCCCACTGCAATGGATACATTGCTAATATTTACAAAAGAGTACACAGCAAAAGATAATCTAAAAAGGTTTAACGAAATAAAGATTTGTGTGCATGATAAGCAAGACTATAATGTTATTACAAACACAAACATAATTTTAAGCCCTTTGTCAATCCACTACTGGATGAAGACTTCACACCATGTCAGTTATGGGGGTTATTTGAAAATATTTCACCAAGCTAATCAGTGTGGTTGGTAAAAGGAGAACCCAGAATCAGTTCAGATATTACTCGCCACCACCAGGACTCAAACTCAGGTGGCTATATTCATAGGACACTGCTCACCAACTGTGCCATCACTCCACCCCATATGCAGCATAATGAAATATTATAGCCTAGTCTCCAGATGACACCGGAAGGCATACGCCTTCCGGTGTCATCTGGTCCAACACCAATGGGGACTAGGCTCTAAAGAAAGCCGTCTCGGGTGTGGACCAATCAACTTCAAGGACAGTGCATATTATGATCATTATCAGAGTTGCTTCTTTTTGTTTGCTTTTTTGACTACTTGTGTTGTGGTCATTGCAAACATGATGCCTTGAATAAAGGTGTCAGTTTTGTACCAGTTTAAAAGGGTAAAAACCTACTACTAAGGTAAAAGCAGTGATTAAATAAGTGTTATGAAAAGGATATTGCACCTATTTAAGCTCTTTACAGATTGATGTAAGATGTATTAAATATGTATCTGTTACTACACATTATAAACATTATTTGTTTCGTTAACTTTTTTCCACATTTTAATGTGTTATGAATGAAACATCATAATAATAAGTGTTAGTTATGCCAATTTTGTTCCCATAGTTTAATGGAATGTTTTGGCATGGAAAAATAAAGATATGTTTAAATCAGTTGCTGAGAATAGGCCTCAAGGTCCAACACATCAAGGGGTTCGAAAGAAGCAGCATTATGACATGTGTAATAGATACGATTTGAGGGCTAAAATAACTTGGGAGAGAAGGTTGAAAGGAATCTCAAAGTTGAGCAGAGTGAGGGGAGAAGCAGTCGTAAAAACAGTGGGGAAACAAAAATATGTTACCGTAACATACCTCGGCATTCTTTACTTTAACATTAAATGTATAACATACATACCTTCGCATAATATACCTTATAACATACATTAATGAGCTTCTGTCAGAATACAGCTCCTGTCGCAGAGAAGTTAATGTTATTTGTTACGCAGATGATCCCATTGAGCTAAGGCTATTTTACAAGGGACATCCGTGGTGCGAGGATCCAAAATTGCAGACCATATATGTGGAGAAAACTCTTATGACCTGCATATTTTATTCACAATTATTGCTAATATGATTAATTTAGTGCGTTGTACTCCACCACGCCTATGGTGGTTGCAAGTAATGGGATGCATTTGCCATCTAAAAACATATATCGTGGTGTTGTGTGTGCTGTGCCTTATGGGTGCGGTGGCATGAGCGGTGACTGCAAACACCAATTAAGACAAACAACATCCTTATTTTCTTCCAAACATCATTATACATTATTTCCTTTTATGTTTTTATCATGATGATGATCCAAATTTTTCTTCTTCATCTTCCCCCATTGCTGCATTTATCTCCATCACCACCTTGATTATCCGACAGCTGTTGCAATCAGCACCCAACCTCTAAGGTCTTCTTATATAGTGTTCTACCACCTGGGTACAATACATTGTTGGACACCATGCAATGTGTTCAACTTGCACACTAAGCCGTTATGGCGGTTATGACTGGCTATGATGACAGTAACATTCGACTATTTTATGATACAAATTTTCATTAAACATTGGATGGCAGAGATAGCAATGGTGGCAGTTACTGGGATGTAACATTGACTGTCATGTCATGATTGTCATCAGTCATTCATCATTATAATCATAATTTAACCTTTAAGACATTTCAATCATTTAAAAACAAGCCACTTTGTGATTGTGGAAATGCAATACAAACTATTCATGATGTAGTAAACCAGTGTACTCTATGCTCATTCATTAGAGGCATACCAAAACGTCATGATCTTCTGAAGTTCTCTCGTGACTGCAAAACCTCAACATTGGCATTTAGCTCCTGAAAGTATTCACAAATGCTATAATAGAATCGTCATCAACGCTATTATCAATGGACAATCATACACAGTAGGACGAATGTAGTTGCTTATACTAGGAGAGAGTCATCACCCATTAGTGGCCCCTTTTTCACAAAATCTCAGATGATTGGAAGAATTGTGGATTGGCAGATGGATATCAGAAGTCATACAGTAGTCACAGAAAATAGGAATGCTGCACAAACGTCGCCTATTTTATACTTTTCTTTTTAAGGCCACAGTGTTGTAATTGTACATATTAGTTATGTTTGCCTTTTTGACCAGAAGAGTGAGGCATAATTACGTGATTGAGATATTGTTATTAAGTTTCAACAGTTGCTACCGCAAATTTAATGTCCACAATTACTCAATCCATTACTTGCAATAATGTCATCAATATGTTTTAAACCATGCATTTTGAAGGCTAAAATCAAGAAAACAAATGATATATACTTTTTAGCCATCATTCTGCTGTATTCATTTAAATGCAACATACGTTGTTGTGGTGCTGACCGTCATTATATTTGTCGTTATAGAGCTTAAAGTTTTAATGTATGTAACTTTTTTGCATAGTTTGCGACTTGTTCCATCAAAATGTTGAATCAAATGTACGTGTACGCATCACCAGAATGCGTAAACAAATCTCTCTGTTTAAAATACATTCCCAACCTTAGTGTTTAGCTCCTTGGAATGTAAATTATGCATCCGCAGTACCATTTCTCCCACTTTATATTTCTGCAATATGCAACCGTACACCTCTAAATGCACACGGTTCAGCCTCCAAAACTCCTCGTGCATGTTTCAGGATGCACAGATAAATGCATATACATTATATGCAACTGAATAGCTGTGAAGGCTATTTGTAAGGGGTTACAATAATTAAGTAGAATTACGTGGCATAAAAAAGGAGCACGAGTTGCTGCAAATTGTCGTTATTACTGGTACAATTTCAACCAGGGATATACTGTGTTTTTCAACAATGGAATTCAACAATGCTCATGAAACATGAGCATATGATGTGTTGAATTAATTGTGTTAGTTTATGAAATGCCTCAAATTGACTTGTAATTACATTAAAATTACTTCCCAGTCAATACAGCATCTAATACCCTTATATACACATGCATATTGTACAGAATAATTGCCTGACCACGTTAATGCTACAGTACACTGAATATAATGCTGTGGACACTTTTTGAAAGCTACCCAGCGCATTTGAGTAAATGACGTCAAAATAGGTAACTAGAAAACAATACGAGATCAATATTGGCTTAGAACATGAGCCAAATATTCTTCGTGGGTTTTCATTCTCAATGGTCAATCATTGGTGTTTGTAAGTAGAAGTCAATGCAGGTAATACCAACATTAACACAGAAGCCCGTCGAAAAGATACCACGTGAAGAATGGGTGTTATATAATCTATGAAATAAAGTATTGGTTTCCTGCACGACTTTCATTTTTGTCATCAGCGTTGCTGTTCCACGTGCTTTGCTTATTTGATTTGCCTAAATCCTCATTTATGTCTGTAATTACCTTCAGAGAGCAATTAGTCAGTGTAAGTACATGTCTCGTAGTTTGCATTATCACGTAAAATTAAGATATACTTTTAGGTGCGAAAGCCAACTTGCTTGAAAGATGTAGGTCTAAAAAAAATGTGCTTTTTTTATTTATATAGAACTAGCTTTACTACCCGGCTTCGCCCGGGACTTGGATTCTTGTATTTTTGTCTTGGATTAATACACGGCCTACACGGAGGGTGAGGGAGATGCGTGACGTCAGCAGGCACACTGCGTGACGCTCCGCATGCGGGTGACATCACACATGTGACGTCACCGCTCACTTGCCGTGCAAAATATATGCATTATTGCGCCCCCCTCAAAATACAAAAGTCTATTTGTATACTTTTTGCATTGTGTACAGTCTGGAAGCTACCCACATGCTAAATTTAAAGTTTGTTGCATGTCGAGAAGTATGCTAAACATTTCGAACAGACACACATATTCTCAAATTTCCCTTTTATATATATAGATGTGTTAGCAAGAGTGGAAGAATAAAACAAGAGGTCATTGTATAATATATCGTACCTGTAGAAAAGCACGCAATATGCTTTTTTTACTACTTTAAATTTATTCCATCACAAGCTGCTCTAAAAAGCTTTGAATAACCTTTGCATTACACATAATAAATTTTGTATGTATGAAAGGATAGCTTGTACTCCTATTTTTGCATCCTGTGATGTACAATTCCTAAAAAATTTTAGTTTGTAAATGCACAAATCCTTACCGTTTATACATATGAAAGGATCTTTTGTATGAGTATTCATCATTTTGGTCATTACCCAAAGCTCATGACCATAGGTGAGGGTGGGAATGTAGATCGACCTGTAAACCGTGAGCTTTGTTCGAGAAATCAGCTCCCACTTCACTACCACGGAACGGTACCGTGCCCGCAAAACTGTGGATGCTGAACCAATCCGTCAGCTGATCTCCCACTCCCAATGAAAACTTATCTCCCGAAAATACCAAAGAGACAAAGGATACTCCACTGCTCTTGCTTGCCATTTATAAACCTCAGCTGTGCTGTGAAAATTGCGTTTTATAACGTTTCTTTGCATTCACTTGTATATTTTGAGGAGTAGGATTTCATATATTATTGTCCAGTCTAACAATAGAAAAAGCTTAATTTGGAGCTTTCGTGACTGCAGGAATTACTCTTTGGTTCTTTAGGTAAAGTCACGTTGTCTTTATACGTGACTTTACCGAAAGAACCAAAGAGTAACAGAAAAAGCCACATCACAAAACGGGCAACTCGGGTGATGATATAGCAACTGCCTTTGGGGTATGATGCCCATGGTTGTGGAACGTTTTTTTTACAGACTATTGACAAGCTGGCAGAAAATAGTGGCCATTTTTTTACATTGTATCAACATATTTCTCACCAACACATCATTAGGGTTTTGATATTGCTTATAATACGCATACAACATACGTATGCAATGATTGAAATTCTGCTTTACTGCAATTAAAATATTGCTGGGTGTTTCAATTGACATCTTGGCAATTTTCTAATTGGAGGGGATGATGCTGCGTGGCTGGGGGGGGGGGGTTGTACGTGATAAGATGTGCCATTTTCACAAAAATCTTTGATTTGCTGTGTTTGTAAAAAAAAACTCTGGTCATATGCTGAATTTTATGACCTTAAAATATAATATAAATGTAATTCAATTAACATGAGCAATATATGTCCTGACTGCTCAATCTGTTTTCCTTATTTTAACCAAACATTTTCTTTCCCCACACAGGAGGCGGCATTTGCTATATGGATCCAGTTCAGTGATGGTACAATGGTTCCACTTGATGTATTTAATTCGGAGGAATATATTCTGCTGCTACGCTCCCTTGATGACCGTGTGGTCTCTGTTACCCACGATCAGCAGTTCATGTGGTCCAAGGTCATCGCAGAAGGTGAAGGGCAGGGTGGATTTCTGAAAGCAGAATTTATGATCTCTGAAGCCTGTCAAAAGACCAACAGAAAGACCACACTCGTGTCACCAGTGGTTAACGTGAGAGTCAGATTCGGGAACGACAGCGAAGATTTTTTTGACAGCCGCGACGATTATATAATTGGAGACGATAGCTTGGAGCGCCTCACCAAAGTTCCGCAAACAGCAGTCCCTTGGATGGAAAAGGAAAGTGTATCAAAATCAGTGGTCACCTATACGAGACCAACGCAATCCCAGCGTGAGACCTGGAAGAAAGGATTGGAGGTTGTGAACGTAGCGCCATCGAGTGAAGATGAAAGGCCCATAAGCAGGTCGAGCGGCGAGAACGACGACGATTCAAAGGATGAAGATTTTGACCAGGATGGTGGAGACGATATGGCTAGCGTCGAGAATGATGGCATTGATAACAAGGTGGAGCCCGGCCTTTCTGACGTTCAGATTGGCATGTACACTTTACTCGGCGTATTCTGCCTCGCTATCGTTGTTTTTCACATCAACTGCATTTTCTTTGCTCTGAAGCGACGGTGTAAGGAAGCGCCACAAACCCAGGATGAGATTGACCCGACCAAGGAATGGACGTGCATGAGAACCAGCCGTGAGCACGTCCGGGCTCAGAAGGACAACGTGAGCTCTGCAAGCTGTCACCTCGAAACGTGCAATGAGAGTTCGCACGAATACGAGCACATTGACCACAACGGCTTGTGGACAATAGATGTGAGCCAGATGTACTCCCATTCCAGGAGACAGCAGCATGTCCCACAAAGGCTTCCTCCGCCAAGGAGCGGCATTTCAAGGCACTGCTCCTTTAGGGATAAGGACATTGAGATGTGCGAGTTCAGAAAGTAGTTGTATCTCACACTGTACATCAATTTTATAAAGAAATCATCAGAAGTTTGTCCTTGGTATTGTATTTCATATTTGCTGGTTAGTGCCATTCTGCATCGTGTACTGGTGGATGCGTTGCAGCACGCAGATCATCAAGTGGAGACTTTTAAAAGGAGCGGAGGAAACAGAAAAAAACAAGAGACTGCATTGGGCATGTAATTTAATACTTATTCGGAGTGGATATCCAAAGGAGATGAACAATGGAAGGCTGGCATACACTAACGTTTTATATTTCCCATTTTATCTCGAGTGCCCACGATTGCAACATTTTATTTAGTGCTTCAAGTAACCATGTCGCAGACAACACTGTGCACGGAATGCTTTGCCACCGTATACTGTACATGGTGTAGTCATGGCAACGCGTGTATACATGGTGATGGTGGTTAATGATCCGTGGCTGGAGTCCCGATGTGGCCGTGACGCCGTCACAAAATGCAAGCACTGGGATTTGTTGCGGACTTATACACGCGCGCACTGCATTCTGCCGTGTTTCCGTGCATCCAGATTGTCTTTTTTTCCCAATGGTCCGATGCACATGCATTGATCACATTTTTGGTGATTTAAAACTAGCCCTTGGTAATTATGTAGACATTTCGTGAAAGAACTGCAACTTGCATTAAATACTCACCGATCCAACCCTAACCCTCTCCCAACCACTCCCACCTCCCCACCTGTACTCCGTCAAACAAAGTTACACGTCACCTTTCTTGGCATCAGTCGGGTGTTTTAGAATAATTGTGTTCTTTAGACAGGTGTACGTTAAGTGAGGCTGTGAGCGATTAATGGAATTAGAGAAGAGTTGGTGGACCCCCCCGTTCCCCCCTCATTCACCCTTGTTATGGCCTAAGGAAGTGTTGTGTAAAAATAATGAGAGAAAAAAAACCACACTTTCAAGCTTTTGAGTGTACAGGTTATTTTTATAAATGTAAATAGCATATGGAAGCTGGAGTTGCATGGGATGATAGTGTATGTAAAAGCTTAACATTGTATAAACTGAGCTGAGATGAGGTCTATGCTATTTGTTATATTGTGATGGTTATCTAACACCCACAAATGTGATATATTTTCATAACAGCCAGTTATTCAGTGTTGTAAATTCTATAATACTTTGTTATTTCATACGTTATGTAGCAAAAAAAATCACTAACTTTTGAGCATCGATTTGTTATTGAAATACAGTATGTGGTTTAATTTACAGTACTATTCTGTTTACATGTTTAATCTTGTCTTATGTTTCCATAATGTATACTTAATATAGTGTACATGGAGTTTTTTCAGCAGTGTTGATGAATTCCAAGAAAACCTTTCTCCGTTTCTCTGCCTGTATTTCTCTGTATTTCATTATTTTTGGTGTCGCTCGCTCGTTAACTTGTGCTTACACTTCGTCACTTTTCTCTCGCGCTACCCTTCTCCCTCTCCCCGTCCTCCCCTCTCTAAGCTGTATGGAATTTAATGACTTTAACGTACAAGTCATTAAGATATTGATGCTTTTTGTGACCTAAATAAAAGTATTGTGTGTTTTAAAGAGTAATCACTTTATTACCGTGTGCTGTGCATGTAATTGTTTGCTAAATAACACCAAGCCATGCCCCCCCCCCCTCAATTGTGTGGTAAGTTGTTCAAAATACATTACAACAGAAATTCAATAATCCGCACTGATACGGCGGGGGCAATATCACCGTGGATCCTGTAACCTGCGAGGCACCGCGGAGATTAGACCAAATAATCCGCGAGAAAACATTGGCGCTGATGCGGTGCACCGTGGATTATGGAACAAAGTGGCTACTCGATTCCATTAATTCGCAACAAAATATATTCGAATTACAGGGAAAGTGTGGCACTTTCATGACTAGTTGTTGAATACATTTTCAGTACATTTGCAGATTATGAGGTTACGAGTTTTACTTAGACACCAAATGGCGCAAATCTGTAATTTGTCGATGTTAAAGGGTATTCTGTTTTTTTTACTTGATATCCAATTTGAACCAAAACAAAATGCACAAACATATTTTTCGACTAAAACAAATAACTTCAGCACAGTTAGTCTGATGATCCAAAATAAAACATTCTAAATGATGAAAATTTAAATCTTGACATTTTCTCAGTTTTCATCCTTGACGTTAGCCTCTGAGGTGTTTCAAACTGGCCACACGAAATTTCACATAACCATGATAAAATTTCAAAATTAATAAAATGTTCAGAAAATCCCCAGAAGACTTTTACACATAACTCATGTTTAAATTGTAGTTATTTGTACTTATCACTGCAATGTGAATCCCACTTTGATACCAGAATGGCTATGCAGCCAATTGAAAACGCTCTATTTACGATTGGCTTTGACAACGCTGTGCAAACCACATCAGCTAAGCCAGCAGCACGTTTCCTCTGTGACTGGTGTGTGTCCTGTACTGTGCAGCCCCCGCGTTGGTTAAGCTACAAGCCCCCCCAGCTTGATACATTTCTAGATCCACCTCCATTCCACCCTCTGGGTTCTGAGGTCATGTAAGGGTGCCCCCCTGGATTTGGACTGATTCATATTTGTGTCTACGTGGTGGAACATCTGTGAGGTTTGCCGTTTCTCCAACCTTCTGGCACCCAGGGTTTGATGCAATGTATAAGTATATAAAAGTAATTGTGTTATTATTTATTTCATTTCATTTGTTTTGCTTGTTTGATGCAGTCCATGTCAAGGGCAGCAGCCTAAAGTGCAGCAAAATCCATTATTGTGGCGTATTTCTGTGCTCCCATATCCATGCTTCCTCTCTTCAACGCTCACAAACGAGCGTGGTCAAGTATGCTCAAACAATCGCCACCATCTCAAGGCATGGGAAATCCATCCTCCATGTGTGGAAAATTTATAATTTAAAATAACCGCTGAAAACCTGTGACTGGGCAATGTGAGGTTCTGTCTTTTTATTGTTACATTTTTCTTGTGATTTTTTGTCAGAGTAATTTCATTGTGAAGTAGGAATATTCAAGATGCCCTCATGTTGCAATGAGATTTACCGCTTACCATGACGTAGCTCAATCAATTACTGTAATTGCTCGTTGACCTCGGCCTAGGGGCACCCACCTTGACACTGACCTCAGTCTAGAGGTTGGTTTAGCAGTCATTCGCCACTGCGTAACAACACACACCTGCTTCATGGTCTGCATTGATGGCCATGTGAGATCATTTGCAAGAGGAGGCCATTGTGTGTCAACGTCATGGTCTATATTTTCCAAATTTTAATAACATTGCTTGAAAATGACTCAATCGCGATTATGCATAGCAAACATCACTACTGTGAAGCTTGGCAGAGCCCTCGGAAAAAAAGAGTCAAGACTCATGGAGGCTTTCCTTGGGAAAACAAACAATAAATGAATTGTAACAATCCAGGATGTGGCCTTGAGTGACCTTGACAAATGGCCTCGACCTAAAAGGCTCCCGGCCTCAGCGTTGTGGCTTTCGGCCTGAATCTTGGCCTTGGCTCTGAGAGTCCCAGCCTTGAATGCAACGCTCTGGGATACTAAATGTTTCCAAAAAAATGTATTCTCTTCTGAGTAGGGTTGCCACTTTTGAGGTACAAAGAAAGCAGGACATATAATATAAAGAATAATATACTCGGAAGAGGGGGAGAACCAAATGTGGAATGCATTGGCAGCCTTAGAAATTTCCCAGTAGAGCTTCCTCAAGATGTGGATGATTCTTGGAAAACCAGGAGAGATGACGACCCTAACCCTGACCCTTCCCCAACCGTGCCTAAGACCCCATCTTTCCCACAGAGAGCTCTGAATCAAAGATAGCATGAATAACATATCCTCTATTCGCATTCTCACTTACATGCCCCGAATAAGGAAACTCGGTAAAACTAGAGATCTAGATGAATAATTATTGTCTACTCTAGCTTACAAAGGCTGAGAAACGAATCACAACACATTAGGTGCTGATGATAGAACATTAACATATATATTGGAAATAACTAAGGTAAGTAACACTTCATTGAAGCTTTTCCCCGTACCCCCTAGCTTAGCTCATGCTCAACAAGGTTGTCAGAAGGTACAATCCAGCACGCGTGTAATGGCTTGCCATGTTGTGCGGTGGTATTGGCATTGTCATATTTATAATTTTTACAATACTGTAGGATTGTTCCATCCTTGCAGAATCACTTGATAAAGCTCTGCACTGTCAACTTTGTGGACGAAAAATATATGGCAGTATAGCTCTTAACCTCAGTTTAAATCTGTATTTTGTGAACAAGACCCCTGACCTGGCTAAAATACCCTTACCTTGGTTGTCAATAAAATGAATTAATTGTGACAAGGTTAGACATGGATTTGAACAAGATGTATGAGTGGATACAACCTGTAAGAAACATTGTTTCAAACGTATTAACGGATGGAATGTTTTCCTTTTTGAAGCCATATGTTAATGGTAATATGGACGTCTTGCTTAAAACAACAACCCCACAATCGCAAAAACTATTGTATCACGCCAAGCAATATAAACAATAACAGCATAATCGTTATAGTTAGGTGACGTGATTACATAATTGACTACTAATGTACTGAGGACCTTGAGCTTTGTGGAAGCGGCCTCAAGTGACAATTGTTATTATGACTACTTAACTTCAAGGGAAATGATAAAACAATACATAAATTCCATTTTGTTTTACTGGCTGTACAGTATATGTACAAAATATACAATCTATCATATTAAATTTCATTCTTTGTATGTGGTAATTACTCGGTTTGTATGGATTAGACACAAGACTTTGACACAAAGACTCCTAATGACCAAAGCACTCAGTATGGCTGTGTTTTGGTCATGCTGTTTTTGTCTCGCAAATGTTTCTTTAATGGACTCAAGGGCTTGGTCCCAAGGTACATTGGGAGCCATCACAACAGGAAACAATCATTGTCATGGCATACTGTACAGAATGTACAGGATGTAAACAAAGATTGGACGCATTGGAATTGATAAAAAAAAGTGTAAAATAAATGTGGCATTCGAAGGCAAAACATTGGGTCAATTCTATAGGTCCAATATGCATTTAAATTGATGACAATCACAATTCACTAAATTTAATTAGCCTCTGTTAAACCAAATTAATATTTGTCATCAATATTGTAGGGGACACATAAGGTAAGTAATTAATATTACAGCATTGACAGAATGAGTATTTTTTGTGCAGAATAATATACATGTATATATGGTATTTAAATGTCAACCTAAAAGTAAGGTTACAAGGGATGGCTGTCTTTGTGTAAAGATTCGCACTCCGAACTTGCAATCCAATGGTCACCGATTCAATACGATTGCTCGGTGCGGCAGTTTAAAAAAAATGGTCACCTTTGGTATATCCCATCCCACCTCCGTCCATCCAGCAGTGAAAATGGATTGACCATTTGGACGATCGGTGGGCCACGTGTAGTGGGATAATACGTGGGCAATCCCACCTCTTCTAAAACATCCATCCAGCATGGAAATGGGGGCCAAAATATCCTCTAGAGCAGTGGTTCTCAACCCGAGGTACAGTATGTGGCAATGTCCCAGGGGAGGGGGGCGGGGGTGTACGTGAGGCGATTAATAAATGCGTGAGATTATATCACACATGAGTCATTTGTGAATAATCATGGAAGAATCTGCAAATATAACATAACTACGATAAAAAAATGATGTCCATATGTTAACCTAGAACAATATAAAAGACCTTCCTAAATCATCGTAAACAATGCGGGTTTCCAAGAGTAACCAGCGAGCACGAACAAATTACGACGTGCATGCAGAGCGTCCGTTCATTGTTTTCGCTTGCAGTTACTAGCTAGTTAGGATACCTCACAAAATTGACATTTGGTTCAAATATTGAAGATCAGTAACCAAACGTTTATTTCTCAGAACCATGTTTAGTCAGGCAAGGAAGCACTGTTGAATCACAATGCAACACGCAGTAAAGTAGACAAAAAAGGTTGAGAACCACTGCTCTAGAGAGTGTCTATAGAGGACAGCAGTGGCACAAGGAAGCAAATGGAGGGTTGTATGGATATTGTACTTCGTTTGCACCATACATAGCCAACCATGGTAATCGGAAGGTTGCACATTTACCTTTGATAAATATAGTGTCTCTTCTGAACCTCGTTTCCTCTAGAAACCAGTGATACCGCAGATGTCAATGGGGCTATGGCCACCACTAGCCTTTGGTTCGACAAGTCCGCATGGTGAGCTGACTGGATATTGAACAAAAACCTAGATTGAGAATGTAATTTCAGAGCAACTGATAGGAGTCTGATTGAATTGCTCTGGATTGCATCCGAGGTGAAATACTACACAACCGAGTGCAATAGAAACAATGCAATACTGCTGCAAAGGACGGTGTAACTTGAGAATGAGAACTACACACATCTACATACAATGTACATTCATACACAAATAAGAATAAGACAAATAACACCCGTTTAGCCTGAACAGACTGTTGGGGCAAGTGCCGTTAGCGGGCACCTATGAAGGTCGGC